AAAAAATAACAAACAATCACTATACAATATTCAAAACCAATATTTTTATTTATTTATTTATTTAAACATATAAACATAGGCACAAGGAGGCACCAAACAGATATGCGCACTGTACAGGTGCCCAAACCTAAGCAGGTGATTTTCTTAGGGGGCCACACACCAAGCCTTCGACCTGATTGTTTGATCCACAAAGCAGTGGAGTAACGTCAGGAGACATAGTTCCATGTTAGCTGGTGACTAACAATAGGTTCGTACGTTAATTTTTTCCCTTAGGATCTTGTAGCCCATATCCACCACTAATTTGGAACCAGGATTTTCCAACTCACCTAGTTAAACCCTCTATATCCACCAACGCGGTTAAGGCGTCGGACATTCGCTTTTCGTCCTCTCAATTTCGTAAACAACACCCCGGCTGAGAGAATACAGTGAGTAGAACTTCCGTGGCAGTGGTTGTATGCACGTGGTCATGTGAAAGCATTTCGAGAAGGAGAGCTGGTTCTCCCCACTCTTAGTCATACCAGGGCATTCAAAACCAACGATTAGTATTAATTGTTAAATGTAATCCATAAGTGACTGATCATTGTCACCATGTAACATTAACAATAAAATGAAAACAAATTACATGATTATATAATAAGGCTAGAATTTATTGTTAATATTTCAGTGAATGTAGTAAATCCATGCTATTTATAGTAAATATTCATATTTCACCTAATCAATGTGGAACCATAACCCCAGATCTTCATATTAAAACACCACAATGAGATAAAACTAACAAGTCAAACAGTAGCATAAATGATAATGAGAAAGATTAACCATTCAGAATATGACATGAAAAGACGGAATAGGATAGTGCATATGAAAGATAACTGAGACTTAAAAACTAGAGTTATATAAAGTGAATGTATCTACGCCATCGTAACCCTTAATCACCCATGTCACTCAAGATCTCCGACTATTGATTGAGTTTATTGAGCGAACGGTAACCGAATAATCTGCATCTACCAGAAAAAGTTAGTTCAATAGTCAAACATTTCATTGACTGGTGATATCTTTCTATAACCCCTCTAGCTTCCTTCTAATCTACTCATACATCAACCAACATTAAGAGTTAAAATACGGGGTGTTTTGGTATACATGAAACATTTCACTACTTCATTAACCGATTTGCCATCTTTATTTAGTGTCTTATGCTTAACCCTATGACTGCATTTTAGTAATGAAAATGAGATACGATGAAGTTGTTTACAATAGCAAATAACGCAGTTATGAAACGCTGTCTTTAAAAATAAAGAATATTGATAGATTACCCGTATTTATTAATAAGTGACTTAAAAGCATCTTTCACGTATTTTGGGATCATCGAGTGAGTAATGTTGAGATGATGCAAAACCAGTTGATAAGGTAGTGGATCTTCATAGACTGAGATGGTTGGGACATGTATTACATGTGTCCAACTGCAACCAGTCTCAACACACGAAGTTGGCTGATGTAGAAATAAGTTGGAAGGAAGTTCTGAGTGCTCAAACAAAAACGCGGCACCCATCCATGAAATCAGTGACTATCGGGTTGAGCCATACTGACAGGTATAGCCTACCTAGTTAGAGTCCACGCGATTCAATGGTTGAAGATGTTGAGTGACATGGCTCAGAATCAGTCGCGACGGAGCAGACGCGTCAACTCCTTGTCTTCTTTTAGATTTCGGGTTCTAAAATTATTTTATGTTTTTTATTTTGAGAACTCAATTTTTAAAACACAATTGTATGAACGAAGAATATTCTTTTCAATGAATTTCTTATCAGCTTCTACAATTATAAATCCAAATTAATAATCCATAAAATTGGTCAGATTTAAGGCAGAGAGTACATCATTTGGAAATTGTAATATGTGAATTGAGAATTGTTGTTTGTTATACAAAATCAATTCAGATCGTTAATGTTGGAGCTGACTAATATGAAGTTGTCAGATATAGTAGATTTAGGGGCGGATACTGGATAAATTCCTCAAAAACGTTATTAAGTGTAATGATGATAATAATAGCAATGATAAAGATGATAACGACAATGGTAAAGATAATAATAATAATAAGTTTAGGACATAAAATGAACATTGATCAGATTACGTCACCATATTATAAGATCGATTATTAACTAGTTGATCCCAAAGTTGGCCAAGGTAAAAGGAGTGGCTGAACATACTTCTTTTGGATGCAAAGCTCTGGCCTTTTGATCCGAATAGCAATTGCTTCAGTCATCTGTAGAATTCGCCGTCTGACGGAATTAGGTAGACTGCTGTTAACACGATAGATTATTGCAAAAGATTGCTCCATGTTGGCTGTATGTCCTGTCTGAACTAGATGGTCCTAGATGGAGCTGTTAACAGTTTTGACTACACCTTTGCTTAACCACACGGGGAGGTGCTCACGAGCTCGAATGTACAAATTTCTAGAACACCTACCAATATAACCTGCTCCATAGGAGCAGTTGGAGGTGGCTAGTCTAGGTAATTTATCTTTCAACCTCGGAGTAATTATTGGTCGTGTGGAGAACATTAGTTGTAGTTTACTCTTTGGGAATCGTATTTCTGTGTGTTGTCTTTTCCATTCCTATTTATATTCATACTACTTCTGTCATATGTCTAGATAATTTCATTTCTCTGTACTGATAAATACACATATGAGTCAGGTTCTATGTTGCCTATGACTGTCTGATTGGATGCATGTAACTAGTAAACTACTAGTTAATCAGTTCTAAGCAGTTACAATTTTCATAAAAAACAGTAGTCCCTTTTTTTCCCTCTTCGTTAATTCAGTGATCTGGATTGAAATTATTTTACATAATGTATCAATCGTTTTTTTTTCAATTAGCATAGCTACTAAGACTAAACAAGTAACATTAAATTGAATTTATTAAAATATATACAGAACGTACTTTGTGGAGGAGGGGGGTTGTGGAGAGAATTTATTTACTAAATCTATCATCTTCACACTTTCGATCACATGGAAAAATACACCCCGGATACATTATTTTTACAGCCTAGTGATACATTTTATTTATCTTAACACACAAATACACATTGAAAAGTGTATTAATAAAATTAGTACATAAGGAATAATTCAAAATAAGGACATAAATTTATACTATAATGATCCTTCTTTTCTTGTTACACAATTTTTAATAAAAAAAGTACATTATCACTCAAAAGAGTTGGAATAGTATGAAACTAAGCACATGTAATATAATCTGACAAGTACACAAAATACTGAAGAATCTCATTTAGTAATATACAACATAAAACCTGGCATATCTGTATGTCCGCTTAAATTACCACACTTAATTAGTAAAATGAGATGGAAAACTAAATTCCAAAGAAGTACAGATAGTAACAGTATTAGCGGTGGAGAAAAGGTTAGATATCGAAGATACGACTTGTATCCAAATGCGCTGGGACGACCGAGAGTGGGAAAAGTTCACTGTTCCACTCCAAATGCTCTCACATAGCCACGCCTATACAGTCACCATCAGGAAGTCCTACTCACTAACTTCTCGCGGCATTACTGTTGTTTACGAAATTGAGTGGGCGAAAAACGAATATTCAGCACTATAACGGGTTGGTGGACCCTCTGTGTCCACCTAGGGGAATTGGAAAACCCTGATTTCAAACCAGTGGTGGATATGGGCTCCAAGATCCTAAGGAAACAAATGACGTATGAGCCTATTGCTGGTCACCGGCTACTGTGGACTGCATCTCCTAACCTTGCTCCACTGCCTTGTGGATCAGAGCACTAGATCAAAGGCTCCCTAAGAAAACTACCTGCCTAGGTTTGGGCACCCGGGCAGTATGATAGCCCACACACAAATCACTTGATTTGTGTGGCGCATATGTATTCGGTGCCCCTTTGTACCAATACTTATGTGTTCAAATAGATAAATACGATTTGAGATGACGCTACTTTTCAAGCATTACAGGAAGACAAAGAATTAATCCACTTATCATCTCACATAAATTTCTCTAACCATGAGTCATCTATGTGATTAAGAAGTCTGAATAACCAGAAACATTCAATGACTTCATGGATTACGCCCATATCCTACGTTTAGCAGTTTCTAGCTCTTTCTAAGTCTATTCTTCCATGGTGTGCAGCATATCACAAGACATAGATAATGGTCATGTATACATTACTCATGTCCCAACTAAACCATTCGATGGAAGATTATAGCTAGGTGAATTCAATTGTAAAATCTAACTAGGGCTGTACATTTAATCTGACCATTATTTCTTTGATAACTTCAGACAAATACTTTTAAAATTTTATAATCAAAAACTTGCAACCTATGCTCATTATTTACTTAATTCAAATGTTTTACAGACAACCATAATCCTGCATTTGAATGGTAAAGCAAACTAATAACCGTACCGACCAGTTTATCAACCGACTGAATATTTAGCCTGTACATAAATGAGTCTGTAATTTTGATTAGTTTAATTAGCAGATATAATGGTTGCGATATCATACCATGTAAAAAATTAGAGTAATTCGCATATTTCTTACAAACACGAATGGTATGCTTTTTTAAACAATATTGGTTATGAACAAGAATTCACATACTTGGTACAGACAATTACCTAGGTATTGTAGAGGCTGAAATACACGAGTAAAATTACAGAATTGAATGATAATAATTAGAGGAACATAAATAATTGTATTTGGGTTCCTGTCACTGATTCAGAACCATGCCACTTTAGATCTCCAACCAAGGACTCTGGTTATCTTAACAATCCTCACCACGCATTCTATACTTGCTTAGATAGTGGATGTCAACAAAGCCAACGAATTTGTAGGTTGATTTTTTGTTTGAATACTAACTGTAAAGTCCACCATTCTGGATGCAGTTCAAATTGTTATTCGAACAATTTAACCTCATAAAACAATGAAACAGAACTTAAAACAATTCAGTTCACTAGAAATTGAGACGAAAAAACTCAAACACTACACTAACCTGGGTCCTTGTGGTATTGTTGGTATTATTGTTTTGTGACAATGTTTCTTGAAAATTTTGAACAACTTTAGCAGCTGTTTCAGCTGCCTCTTTCATTTTTAAAGCAAATTCTGTTAAACTTAACTGAAAACTCCAATCAGATGAATGTTCATATGAACAAAACTGCAGTTTATTAAAATCACAACCATAATTTATAGAATTATTAGAAATAATTTCAATTAAGTGATCTTCTGGAGAAATGATATTTTGTCTAGGCAATAAACTCTTAACAGAATTTGTAGGATAAGATAAATTAGTAGAAGATACTAGTAAAATGGAGATTAGCGATAATGATGATAATTTAAGTAAATGCACATAAATTTGTAAAATGATCATATTGTTTAATGTAATAGGTGTTATAATTAATTGATAACAGTCACATATGAAGTGATTGATAATACAAATGAGTGAAATGTTGAATACATATTACATTGAAAATTTCATTCACCATCTTTATGCGGTTGTAATGAAATGTTAAATCTGATTGATTTATCTAGAGCATATTCAATAAGTTGGAAGTACTAAAATAAAGAAAAAGAACTTATTGGTAAGATGTTGATTAAGTTATCTAACATGAAGAAATTACTGGTTATTAGTTCTGCATAAGTTGTTTTCATTTGAAAATATCACACGGATATCACATCCAATCATTGTTTATACTATGAACTAAGCTGCTGATTTAAGTAGTAAGACCAAAAAACATCTAATCATGATTCATGGATGTTTGGTGCAGGTATAAGGTTTAACATCGCACATCATACACTGGAAACAGCGTGAGAACTCGCGAAATAAACATGATGGAATTCAAGTATTTCTGTTAAATTTTGTAGTCACGCTTCAGGAGTAACAAAATTAACAACAGTAATTCAAGTTTAACTGAAGCCTGAGTTTGAGCACTTAGCTAAAACCTGTGCCAAGACGTATTGCCTAAATACTTACGGATTATATTAAAAGAGGTACGCTTGTCAGAGTACAACATAAAGATGGAAGCCTCAAAGATGCATTTGAGAAAGAACTCAGTGGACACTGAGAGGAATAGGTACACAATTTTTATCTAGATATGGTTTAGGATTGCCTTTTAGTCTGTGGTCTTTGACTATGATCCATATTTTTTAAAATCACGTTAGTGAATTTTAAACAGCCACAGACCAGTAGCTGCCAATTATAGTGTTTGAATAAACTGGTTGTTTTCCTGATCAACAATAAAAAACAACACTTGGTATACAATGGGTTTAGGCGACGAATACAAGAATAATTCTGATCCATTTAAAGGCACTGTCACAAGATAAACTTGATAGCTAAAAGCGAATGCATTACTTGACCTCGATATTCCTTCAATAATGACAATAACTAAAAAAAATACTTGAACTACTAAGAAAACCGCTTTTCAGACAAGGATCAAATAAAATATGAGTACGTTGAGCATACAGAGAAGCATATTATCACAATACAAAATGACAGATTCGGGTATTTGTGGCAAGCTCCATATTGATTAGTTCTACCAGTATGTCACCAAATAGAGCCTGACACATGTCAGTCGACTAAAATTACCATACCACCCGTCTCCCTATTATGAGCAAGCTTTCGTACGTTTTGATGAAGCCACAGTAGAAAATTCGGTAGAAATGGCACAAAAAACTCCAAAATTTCCCCAAATGTACAATAGTACGACCAGATAAAAACAGCAGAGATCGGATAAACGTAATATCAATGAAACATATCACAGGTAAATCGATCTCAGTTTACCTTGACGAGTAAAACGGATCCCAACAACTGGGAAATTTACAAGGTGATAACTGAAAACCAGCTGGTTTACTGGTAGTCTACTAGTAATTACCCTTTGAGTGAAAAATGACCAACAAGAATAATTTAAAAATATGACAAGCTAACCGAAAAAAAATCACCGTTTTGAACAGTAAATTATTTTCAAAAGTACGGAAAATATGAAAAATAGAAAGCGAAATCTCGGGAACCAAGACAAGAAAATTTGACCTCTTCAAGGACATCAAACAATTCGACCGCGACATTTTGTAATAGGACATAAAAACAATTAGAAAAGGCTACTACGAGTTTAATATAATGCTTTCTGAATTCGAAAACTCTACAAAAACCAGAAAAACAATAGTAAACCAACAACTTGAAGACTAAACATCATTTGAAAATGACTCATTTCAACCAAAAGAGCAAATTACAAAATTCAACACTATCACGAGCTTCTATGAATTGGTTCGTTTATCTGTGATAGCTTCTTGTTATCATAGTACCGTTCTGGGTATCTAGTAATGTTCAGTTGATGATAGTCTAGACTTTTGGCTACACTAATTCTAGCAGGTTCGGTAGTCAATTGTGGATATTGATGATGTCACAGGAATGGTGTGAAACGTTCATTTAAGCTATCCACATTCTTAATTTCTACTGGGATTCCTTCATTTGACCTCAGGAAGTATAGTTCTTATCGAGCCAGATTTTCACCAAACATATGCAAAACTGCTCTTAAATTTGTTCGTAGCAGAAGGTATATTATCGGGTCATAGTATATTCTATGGTGCAACGGAAACATTTGACAATTTACTATGTAAATTACCAAATCATATGACTTCTACAAATGAGATCAAAGAAGAAATTTCAGATCTTAAAATCGCTTGGCGTTATCAAATGTCCCAAACACCAAGAATGTAAATTCATCTGTATCGAGTTTAGGGCATCATTTCAATATAACCATACCCATGAATGCAACTGCTCGAATATCTGAGAAAAATGTGTCAACTTGTTATTTTCAACCGGATAGTAAAAAAACATTGCATACCAATCTCTTCAGTTTAATTCAAAAATTAATTATTTTTCGATCAAACACAAAAGTGTCTTCAGGTATACAACGGATATTGATAAACTCATGCGGCTCTCCTATGTGGGGTTATTGCGAAGATACTCAACAGTTCTACAGGAATATGCTTAATTTCTTTGCTACATTACGCCTGCTAATTCAAAACAGTCACTGTACAGTTTTTGTCACGTTACCTACAATGAAGCTACCGCCTGGTCTATTGACTCGTCTATCTCATTACTGTGATTATATGTTTCGAGTACAAGGACTGCGTGACCAGATACAGGCGAATCCAGTGTATTCAGAATATGATGGTCTACTCACAGTTCTTCATATTCCTTGGTTAATCAGTGGGAATACACTTGAACCGGCTTTCAGATCATCTACACTTGAATGGTGTTTCAAGATAAAACGGCATCAGCTAGTTGTGCAGCATTTCCACTTACCACCTTCTCTATCCGATACAGTAAATAGATCCAATACACCGGAAGCAGTTTTCACATGTTCCAAATTGCACGAAAATCAGTTAGAATTTTGAATTTGCCTACTACTATGGAAGACAAAGGAAAAAAATAAGCATACTTATTTATTTGTACACTTTATTGAAATAAATTCTCATATCAAGTAAAAAAAAATAAAAATAAGGCAATGATATATAAAAATCCCAAAAAGGAACAGACTCACAGTTGCAATTAGGTGTACCAGATCACGTCGGGCTCACCAATGATGATGTCACAGGTATTCAGTGTTTGACAACGCTTCTACCAGTAACACCTTCTAATATATTTCGTTCCCGCCTAGAGAAATCAAAAGACAGAGTCGAAGAGATCGGAAGAGTATATTTGGCGATGACCAATATATCGGAATTCTCTGATCTAATCTGGCTAACGATTGCGGTTGATGTTGAGCACGGCGTTACCACACGTGATCTGGTGCGGATGCCTGACCGAGCGCCTTCAGCTAGGTCAGTCCACTAAAACATATGGTCAGCATCCAATGTCGAAAACTTAGTGCTATTTATTTTGGGGATTTATTTACCGCTACAATATGTACATCTTGCAATTTGATTGAGTGCGCTTTTCTCAGAAGAGTAAGATTTTTGATACCAGCAGCTGTCACATTACCAGGCAAGAAACTGGATTGTTGCAATGTAGGGATAGTAAAGTAATAATTTGAGTGCGAAGAGAAAACGACGACCCCAAGGAGGAATAACTAATTGGTAATGTGTAAGAAGACGGAGCCGAAAAGATGAGAGGGGAAACGGAGATGATAACAAAGGAAATGGAAAGTGGTCACTGATTTATGGTAATGATAACCGCGGCAAGTTGTAAGACATGCATCAGACACAGCTGGCCGAAGAGGGAGATGGTAATGCATGGGTTAGTGCTTGCCAAGTCTTCTCTAAAACCCATGTACTGAGGGGGTGATAGTCACTTAGGATGGGAAAACACTCCAAATGAGGGCGACTAATGATGATAAAAGGTGAGAGAGCATCTGGGTGTTCGCTCTTTGATGTGCAATCTTCCAAGGGTTGCCTTGTAGCTTGATGTCGAATCGTAATTGACTATGAACGCCACTACAAGGAAACGCGTACCAAACAAATCAGAAGGCGAAGGTTGAACGTAACCAGATTTATTTCGTTGACGATCTCGTGATATCGAACGAATATCACGATCGTGCTAAGCAACGGTACAAGCGAAAGCATGGGAACGGAGTACCTGCGAACAAAGCCAAAAACCGTGGAACAATGATGGAACCTGAAGGAAGCACAAAATGGCTGTAATTAGCACAGTTAAACAAAAGCACATGAAAACAAGCACTGGTACAGTTGGTTATAATAATATTTGTTTTCATTAAACCAGTCGTGTCCTCGTGATAAAAGTGAGCCACTACAGGAGCCCCTCGCCAGAAAGGTTCTACACTTTCGATAGGGAGCTATTAAACGTAACTCAATTTCGTAAATGTGGCATTCACCTTAGCAACCAATCAGAATGAGACAGGAATTATTATATCCGCCATCTTTGTAAGCAATGGCGGTTAATCGACGAAGACGTGTACCACGTGCATCTGCTGTATACTGCCATTTTACTCCAATTCTAACTGTTATATCTTAGTTCTGAAAAATAAAATTGCTGTATGCAGCAAACACAGACTTACTTGTTTTGGTGGAGATAGGGGGTTCATGGGATACTCAGCAAGACTGTAGTAATATCCTCACTAAAGAGCTAAGCGAGTGCGTAGGCCAATGTAAGGTACCATACAGGGTGCCTTTGAGTTACTAGTGTTCCATTAGTGCCTATCATATGGCATTTGAATAAGGAGCTAAAGATTAGACGCAGGTACGGTTAGGATGTGTAACGCATGTCCATCCATCAGCTGCCGTGACAACTCATGGTGGTTAGAATAAGTTATGAGAAGACCCGAGTCTGTAGGCTTCCCAAGAAAATGACGAAGATATGAACTAAATCGCTTAAATTTACTACATATGAACTAGATGCTGAGAGGCTCGTGTATCACAAGTTTCTTGCAACGATTAAGTAGACAAAACTAAGTAGCATTAGATTTAAAAATTTATCCAGAAACTTTCATCAAGAATCGAATACCAAACAAAGGTTTAAACGAAGTCCCCGTTCAAAAGTTGCACTGGTAATGTTAAACTGCATTTTTTGTTGTTTTTTTCCAAACGAAAGGGTAAAACAGGTAACTCAAAAAGTACTGGAAGTGGTTGTGAGACTAAAATGGACATCCAGCATCTTTTTTATAATCTGCTGTTAGTTGGGTCTCCTGTAAACAGTTTCATAGGGCCATAGTTCTAAGGGCGAAACAGTTCTTAGGATCTGTGAAGGCTCACTCCTGTTGTATTCTAAACGAGAAAATAGTAATGAATTTAGTCAGAAATATGGAGTAGACAAATAGCCAAATTACATGTTTTTAGCAAAGAATTCATGCAGTTGTGATTTACCTTGAGTTCATGAATATTAGATAAGGTCAGCTACTATTACTTGTGCAAAGTATAACATGGACTTAGTACCGTATCGCAATGCCTTTATTATTTTGCTCTCATTTAAGTATTCTTATGCATCTGGATCTAGCTTAACAGGAAGACATACAAACATAGTTAGTGTCTGGTAAACTAAAAGTCCCAGTTGTCAAAAAGATTCTTAACATTTGCCCACAGCCAGCTGCATTTAATTGAGACACAGAACACTCATCTTCCAAGACTGTATACTGCTCTTATGCAGGCAAATGAAAGCTCACACACTTAGCTATCCTGATACCGATGTTATTGCTGGGGAAATTGTTTAATGACAGTGGTCTTGAAACATGAACAGTGTTAGACGTACTGTCTACAAATAAACACCAAACGTACTTAAAGCTATCTTATAACATATGACAGCAAAAGCATCAAAGGCACGTTTTTTTCCTATTTTTAATCAGACTGATTTGAATTAGTATACTCACTAAAAACAGGCAACTCTACTTACTGAACTGATCATTTTCGTTACAGGCTTTAAGCACTATACTAAAGTATACTATAATTCTATCGACTAATCTAAATTACAACAGCAACCAAGAATACTAAACTAAGCAAGTGTCATAATTATTGTTCCATTTGCACAGACATGTTGCTAAACGGAGTCAAATGAACATAATTCAGCTGATAGAATCAAAACACGAAATATAGGCCATTTGAACTTACCTAACAGAAGACGAAGGATACATATATATTGCTTTCAGACTGAAGACAACAGGCAGTTGTTCATAAAAACATAGTTTACAGGACAACAAACCTTTCTTCAGTAAAATCATGCACTGACGGTCTATCTGGAAACAATCAACTATGTGAATAAACTAACTATGACTTGAGATATCATTCCAGCGTGCAATGAACGTACAGTGTAACGCAGTCGGACGTGGCGAATAAAAATTAAAAACAGAGCAGAATTAACAGCATAATCTAGTTATTTAATTAAAAATGCATTATGAAATGAAAAAAATCTGTGGTTGTTTGAACGCACAGATGACTCTGGGCGATACATTTAGTTTACATGGTTGCGTTGCGAATAAATTCACCCCTTTCGATAAGTAGCGGTTTAAATCGTGGGACTGATCGGCTGACGAGCGATTGTAGGACGGAAGAATCGGCGGAACAGAAAAGCGATTGTTGATCGCCGAGTTGCCGACGAAATTCTTGTTCGGAGAACGGTACCAGGAGCGGTGTGCTATATTTGTTGCTCGCGTTGGCATACCACACCAGAGTGGCTTGTATCCAAGATCAGAAGATTAAGTTCGTGGGGATGCGGACCAGAAACGCTGCAGACATATGACGAAACCACGTTGAGCCGAGGAACCAGAAGCGACCATAACGAGCATGTTCGAGGCCAAGCGTATGCCAGGCATTCGAAACCAAAATATCGACTGAGCGAGTTGACAAGAGCGTGGGTATCAGACGGGGGTGACCGGAGCCGTGTGCTCAGGATACAGAAAAAAAATAAAAAAAGAGAAGAATGTAGCATGCATGTAGCATAGGAATAGTCCTACACCGTATCGGTTGTTGACTGTGAGACTAGTCGCGGAAGCGTACGGGCAACCGTACTCGGCGACCGGAACGTGAGACGGTAGTCTCGTTCGCTTCGCGTGAGCCTGCAATCTCACCCAAAGTCAAGGGCGGCTTGGCCTGCTATTCTGGACGTGAGACTGTCGTCTCGTCCGTAGACGGTGCAGATGACGCGTGCTGTCAACCGGGACATGAGAATGAGGTTTCAGATGTATCTAGCGTAGGATCTGAAGAAGATTTAAGGATCCCGATAGGTTTGATAGGTCTAGCATTGAATCTCAGGTTATCGGATAGGGCACTGTCATCGACGTGTGCTGGTTTGAGACGATCAACGCTGACGATCTCGACGCGGCCATGTCGATCAACCTTGAAGGTCTTTTCGTGACGAGCGATCACGTGAAAAGGGCCTTCGCAAGGCTGTTCCAAAGGTTTGCGTACCGAATCTACTCGTATGAAAACATGTGAACAGGTAGATAACTCTCGAGGGAGGGCGACCTGTCGATGTTGTATTCGAGTTGACACCGAAGACAGCAATCGTATAAATGCAGACAGTCGATGGACGTAGTCTGATTTACCGAAATTAGGTCTGCTCCGTGGTGTGGAGAATTCTCCGGGCAGACGCAATGTCGTGCCGTTTACAAGTTCAGCGGCGGAACATTGGATATCTGCCTTCAAGCTCGTTCTGATGCCTAAGAGGACGAGCGATAAGGTTTCGTACCAGTTGCCCTTCTCGTGTGCTCGTAGAGCACTTTTAAGTTGGTAGTGAAACCGTTCAACTTAACCATTTGGTGCTGGGTGGTAGACGGTAATGCGTATGCGTATGCATTCCGTACCAAGCAGCCGGGTCAGCGAGGAGAATAATTATTAGGGGAAAATTTCTCGAATAAAGCATGGAATTCATCGTCACGCGAATAAAAAGTGACAAGGATTCGGTACACATACGTGTGAGTCTATTATATTAATACTATTCTTATCGTTAT